GGAGACCAGCCAAGGCTCTAAGCTGGAATTTACAGAGGACGAGGAAACGCTTATTGCTCGGATGTACAATCTGCTTGGAGACAGGTCGGTCTGATGCCTTTTCCCCATTTCATTAGTTCCTTCGTCCTTTTAATCTTCTGGGTTCTCGCTCTTCCTAAGCCTTTTTTTAATCTAAGATTTCAGTATCATTTGATCAGGTGGTCTCTAATCGCTGGGAGAATACCAGGAAGAACAGCGGAAGAGATCGAGAAGTATTGGACTTCTAGGTACTCAACAAGTGAATGAGAGAATCTTTATGGTGTTTTCTCTATGAAAACAAGCAATTTTGGGGCGTAATGATGCAGAGTATGCTGCAAGACAGAGGTATGTTGCTTAATTTTCAGGGAGCTTGGATCTTTGGATCTGATAAATGCCACCCATCAAGTATCGGCAAAGGTTGGAATCAACATGCAATTGAAAATTGAAGATTCCATCCTGATCAATTGCTAAAATGTGATCCTGTCAAGGACTCAAACTTCATGGATCTATTTCCTGAACAACCGCATAACTATGATCCATTTTTGGAGTCAAGTTCTGACAGTTGTTCCATAATAGATGATGTTCTTGAAGATATACAATTGAAAGTTGAGAATATTGTTGCTGATCAACCTGAGATTACATTCCTATTGATGTTGTCCGAAGGCAGAGAAAGAGAAGTATTTGCCAGCTTCGGATACAGTGGCTGAGGAGTCTACCGCTATTATTGATGAGATTTCAGCAACCAAAATGCATCCCATGTTTGGTTGGGGCTCCAACGTCCCTTGAGATTTCAGCTACTGATCAAACTCTCACCAATGTTCTACCAGGCTTAAGCCTTGGAGCACCTGGATCAGATTCCAGGCATCATTTACCACTTCAGATTCAAATGACATCAAGAAAGTCATCGAACAAGAAGCAAACACCAATGCAAAAGGCAATCAAGATTTTGAAGGATGACAAGGAGAACATTGACAAATAACAATAGCACCAAGAAACTGGAGTCTGGTAGTGGACTGAAAAATACCAAGTTAGTAACTATCATTGCAGAAGAGAAGGAGAACAATGCCAAGTTATTAACTGCATAGAAGGGATTCAGTAGCACGGGTTTAGGAAATCTGAGGAAGACTCATAAAGAGAGAAATTGCAGAACAACAATGATAAGGTCAGAAGACATCTATTAGTGGTCGGGGAGTGGTTCAAAAGACAAGAACAGCTCTGCAAACTCTAATAGAGAACCGGTTGATGTTGGAAGATACAAAAAACTAAGTCAAGATACTTGCTATTGGCGTTGGTGTGGTTGTCATGGCAGTGGGGTTAAAACTTTGCTTTGCCCCTTAATTTTTTTTTTGGTAGTAACATTTTCATGGGACCGTTAAGTGGTTAAGAGTTGCATGTTTTTATTTCCTTGCTCTTTTTTAGTGTTATTATTGTTTAGAAACAATGAAAGGGGATATTTCTGAAATGAGATAGAGAGAGAGGATGCTTTTCTACAGGATAGTAAATTGAATTGAATGATTTGAATACAATATCAAATCAGAAAAATTCTAAGTAGTAAGCACTTTTCTTCTGTTTATGGCTTGTAAATCAATCAAGAATACCAAGTGTGGAGGACCTACCTGTTCTGTCAGCAAGGAAAGTAACCCCACTGAATTCTATAGGTTTAGTTTTGCTTTAAAATAGTATAAATGTTGGACTGTTCTTCTCATAATCTATTATCAAATTTACAGTTGCCTCGAATTTAACACCATTTGGGTGATTTTGGCACTATATCAACTCTGACTGAGAGTAGCCTCACTCAGCTTTCTTTGTGGTAACCTCAATTTCATTGTAACTAACTACTAACCAATAAACCATTTAATATTATCTTATCCTAAATTTTTTTCGTCATTTTATGAGTTGAAAACAAAAGGTTACTATCTATACTAAAAGGAAAATGTTGTACAGTCAAGGCCTGAGTGTGCAATAAATGGAATCACTCAGTAACCTCTCTTTTCAATTGTTGTTAAAATGCCCATTATTTGCAAACATGCCACCACTAAGTAACCTCTCTTTACAATTTTTGAAGTTGATACTATAGAAATATTAAGGGGTTTACTAAATTTTGAATCCGACCTTTTAATTGTTTCTTTAATTACATTACTGTAGGGATTGATGTGTCCAAATTATTCAATTTCAACTGCTTGTGCATCAAGCAACTTTTGTATACTTAATGCTACAAACCATATTATCAGAGGTGAAGCTATGAGTGGCCCATTTCATTTCGCAGACTTTATTCACTGGAGGTCTTATGCTGGAAATGCCTTTTTAATTTTTTCATTTTCTTGTGTTCATTTAAAGTAAATATGATAATAAAATTCTGATGGGGTTACAGTTTGGGCAACTGATGTTAGTTATTGAGGGAATAACTAGAGATGAGTGGGGAAACATTGTTTTGAGCTTTTCAGGACCATCAGGGTTAGAAATTCTTTAAGAGAGAAATTTTAGCAATTCTGTAAGGGCTAAAATTTGACTGCTGTCCATATAGGAATACAAGTTGAGGGAGAATGTTAAGTTGTTGTTAACTGGTTGAAAATTGGGGATGATGTGCCATGGATACTGCACTTCTGATTAGACATGCTAGATCTTTGGGATCTAACCTGAACTGCTCATTCATTTGGGTTCCTAGATCAACAAATAGTATGGATGACTCATTAGCTAGGGCTGGTGTGTCTTGGAAATATTTTTGTTGGGGTGAGCCAGGAGCAGGGGGATCACTATACAGATTGAGCATTGTTATTATTATTAATAAAATTCTATTTTCAGTTATGGTGGCTTTGATGCAGCAGTTATACCTATAGGTATCTGTTATTCTTTTTTCTCATTTTTGATGTGTACAAGGGTTAAGCTTTGTGAAGAATAGAATCAATTTTTTATTTATGCTGGTTGCCATTGCAGGCTTGGGGGGCTTTGTTGCATGCAGAGCACTTTCACAGAGACATAGTGACCCAATTGGGTTTAAGGTTTAAGGTTTAAGTGACCCAATTTAAGTGAAGGTTTAAGTGACCCAATTTTTATGGTAAACCCAACTAAAGGTTTAAGTGACCCAATTTCTCATTCTAACCTGAATAGAATCAATATTTTCTTTATGCTGGTTGCCATTGCAGGCTGGGGGGGCTTTGTTGCATGCAGAGCACTTTCACAGAAACATAGTGACCCAACTAAAGGTTTAAATGAAAACTTATGGTAAACTTGTAAGTTATGTTTGAAACTCACGAATGTGATATAACTGAGCCAATCCAAAAAGAAAATAAATAAAGAATTTTTGGTACATAAAAAATTATTTTAAGAATAAATTAATATCCAAGAAAAATCTTATCTACTTATGTGGATTATGGATTCCATCAAAAATTTTCCATAGTTTTTGGCATTTTTAATGTGAGAAATGATTTATGGATAGGATTGTGATGGATTTGTTATGGGAGAGGGAGCTGGTGTCCTGCTTTTAGAAGAACTAAAACATGCTAAGGTACATTTTACCAAGTGTTGTTTTTATGAATAATTTCATTAGACTAGGTTTCTTGGAGAAGCGCCAGATTGGAGTAGCTAGAGAAGATGTCAATCATGTAACTGCACATGCAACATCAACACAGGCTGATGATCTCAAACAGTACCAACCGCTTATTCGTTGCTTTGGTTAGAATCCTGAGGTAATGTGAATGCATTTTATTTCTGTTTTCATTTCTTTCAATTATATAATGAGTTTTCACAATCACCATATGGCATGCTTGGTTATACCTTGATTATTGGAGACAAGAGTGAACTCCACAATATCAATATTAGTCACCTACTAGGAGCCGCACGTGTTGTTGAAGCTGTTGCAACAGTACAAGTGAGCAGGTATATGGTTTTTGATATTTCATTCTTAAAACTAATGAAAGTTCCCTAGTTTACATCACACCAAATACTTTAATTTATATGATGGGCTTAATGGATATTCAATCATGGATATATGAGTTAACCTCTATTTTTGTTAATTTGAAAATGTCCTTATTTGCCACAAAACAATATTAAAGATTTCTCTTTTACTTGAACGGTTGAACCTCCATTGCATCCTCCTTTTAATTTTTCATACTTTAATCATTATGATAACCTCTACTTACTAGTATCAGCAAAAGTGCCAATAAACACCTACTTTTTGGGAGAAGCTCCAAAATGAAGCTTCCTGAAATATGAAAGACGCACGCATAGAAGATATGCATAATGAGAGTTTTGCTGATGAAATGTATATATAACAACTTTACTTAATAAACACCAACGGAACCAAACAGATACTTAATTTAAATGCCACATAACCACCCTTATCTGCTCAAAAGTTGAATGGGTCTCCAAATTCCTTCACATTAGACATCAAGAGCCAGTAAAACAGCCATTCAATTAAAGGCCCATCAATATCTTGAGATCTAAGAGATAAATTTGAAACAAATGTTCCAAGAACTCTTCCTTAGAGCATATGGATATGGGGCAGGAAGAACCAACACTTGTCTTTATTGCATAAGTTCTTCATAATTATATTATAAATATCATCATCTTGTAATTATCACATATACATTCTTAGCGGTTAATCCAATAATCGGATCGTCGTCATCATCATTATCATCATCCGCATATGACGAGCTATTAAATCCGAATTCATAATGGGATGTGGTATCAGGTTGTTTGGTACGCCACGTGGACCAATGGGACGCATGATCATTGCAGAAGCGTACTATTCACAGACCCACAGTCACAGCTCTGACATGGAGGGCATCTTTTGTAATTGTTATGAAAATCTGGTGGCATTTTATAGAACACGCTTCGCAACTACTAGGTAGTGCGTAGTGGGCAACTGGGCATTGATAGCGTGCATTAGGACTATACCACTTCCCTGATCAAGGTTGCAACGTGTTCAATTTTCATTGCCCTAGAAAAATTGAGATGTTTTATCTGCTGGAGTTGAGCGTGGATTCTGAAAAGTGATAGCGAAGAGCACGAAATTTCTGCTTCCCTTCTCAGAGACTTCTGATCAAAGATCAATTGTAATTGCCTAATTGGTATTTTGGTTTTTACAGAAAAAAGTTCTCTTTTCTGAAAGACAAAGGGTTTGTCTCTCTGCTCTATTTCATGGGAAACCTAATCTTCGTCTGATGATTCGAACTCGTCTCTGAAACGAGTAGTTTTGGAAATGGAGAATCTGAGGAGCAAGTATCCTTCTCTCCCTCCGAACTATGTCACGCTCAAACAGCTCCAGGAGCGGAGGCTCAAGGAGCTGCAGAAGGAGGAAGAAGAAGATGCAGCGAGGACAGCTCTGGAGCAGAAGAGGGGCGAGGAAGAGGAGATGATGCAGAAAGGAAAGGAAAATGAAGGACAGACCATGGTAATGCAGAGACGAAAGGACAAAGAGAAGAGAGTTAGTATTCAAGCATCTGACTGGCCGGAGAGTCGCCGGAGAGGACAGAAGTGGTTGAGTCGAGGAAGAGAAGAGGCTGTGGTGATTGGAGGAGGGCATGCTTCCGATGGGAAAGAAAGGTTGAAGATCAAGCAAGAAAAAGAAGAAGAAGAAGCGCTAAAGCAGAAGGGGGAAGAAGAGTGGAGGCCTAAAGCATCGTATCGCCTGGAGAGGGCAAATGGATGGGAATTTCGCCGGCGAGGAGGGAACCGATTGAATCGGGAAAGAGTGGTGGTTTCTGATCGGAAACAATGGCTGCAGCGTAAGGAGGAAGAAGGAGAGCGAAGGCTTCAAGAAGATAATCTCAAAGAAGAACCAGAGGTGCAGAAAGGGCGGCAGGAAGAAGAGAGGAACGTTAAAGCTTTTGATCGGCCGGAGGAGAGGCGAAATGGGCAAGGAGAGATCGGTTTAGAGACGAAGAATCCAGAAGGGGAAGTGGAAGAAGAGAACTGTGATCAGAAAGAAAAGATAAACGAATCGAAGAAGTCAGTGAAAAAGAATAAGAGGAAGAAAACGAAGGTAAAAGCGGGAGAAACCCAAACAGGAAAGATAGCAGGGGCGTCGCCGGAAAAAGTAAGGGAAGAGGAAATTCCGACAATGCCGATGGAAAATCCGAACGAAGAGAGGAGGACCGATGGAGGATTTCATGGAATCAAAGGAAGAGCTGAGAATTTCAAGGGTTCAGTGGATGAGAAGGTGGAGATTGAAGGGAAATTTGGAGACCTTGCGCTAGTTGACGATGATGAGAAGAAAGTAGTTGATCCGGAGGGTGCGAAAGCTGTAAATGGAAATAGATCAAGGAGAGAGATGAATGGTGGTGATGGTTCAAGGTTCAGGAGATGGAAAAGGTTGGGTGGTGGTGGCGGAGGGAAGGCGGGAGATGGTGGTGTTATGGTATGGGTGAAAAAAGGAGAGGTTTCCGATGGGATTCCGGCGAGGTCAGGGAGGAGCTCTGGTGGTCGTGCCGGGCGATTTTAATCAGATGAGTAAAATCATTATTTTTTATTAAATGTCCCTTACTCTTGTCTACACAATCATAGATGAATAAATCATTATTTTCCATCCCCGAACATAGTTGTCTTTTTTAACCTTGCCTGATTAAAATGTAAATTCCTGATTACTTTGCGTCTAGTGTCATTTTGGTCGTGTCGTGACAATTGAGTATCCGAACTTAAAAAACGTGCTAATTTTGTATGTACGGGTTAAGTAGTATTTAAAAAAATATAAATGTTTTTTAGGACTACGTTTGGTTGCAATGCAAACGCAAATATATATATTACATATTTATTCATTTTTCAGTTTATGAATGTAAATATGGTTCATATTTTAAAATATTTTTACATTCATCTTTGTTTGTTTAAAATCGGTATAAAAGTGTGGGTCTATCATTAAATGCTCCAAATATCATATGCTTTAATGACTTAACTTTGGTCAAAAAATTAATTATCAAGAGAGCACAAAATTGTATTAAAAAAATAGGTATACTAATGCTCTCTTTTCAGAGTACAAAAGTGTCAAATAATGTATTTTTCTCTAATAATCATTACTTTTTTATGCATTAAATAAACGCTCGCAAACGCGAACCAGAGTACATAAATACCCCGATTTGGTGGTTGTATCCCAAACAAACGGAGCCTTAAGTTTTATCTAATTTTCCTTATCAATCATTCAATCATTGACAAGAAAATGCAATGTTTTCAACCTGACGTTGATCCAACCGGTTGAATTGTCACCCGACCAGGATTTTGGGTCTGGTTTAGTCAAGACCTACCAGACACGATAAAAAACCGTTGACTTGGTTGGTTCAACCGTTGATCCGCTCGATCCAATGATCGGGTCGCTCAGAGGCCATAACTTTGCAATCTGATGTCTGATTGGGGTGATTTTTTTATTTTGAGCAACTTTTCAAGATCTATGCGTCCCAAGGAGTCGTCCCTGCTATCTTTGTGGAAAAAACCCTTTTTGGGCCTCAAATTGCAATTGTTAATATTTCTATAAATAAAAAATAAAAACTAAATTAAAAACATAAATTAACTATAAAATAATACATTTAACATATCTAAATCTTATTTATACATTATTTATTTTTAAAATATATATTTACACGCACACACACATATACTTAATACATATATGTGTTGACATAGCATGGACTGAACCGTTTGACCAGACCAGTCAATTTGGTGACTCGTGACCCAGATGCAAAAAACACAAACGGGACTGGTTTATAACAAGTATTGGATTGACATGTTTTGAAAATTCGCGTATTGAATTCTCACATTTTAAAGTTTGGGGGACCAAGGTACTTATCGAGAATTTTCCCAATACAAAACACAAACGCATGCCTATGTGTGAGCTACTAAGCTAGAAGTTTAGGGCTCGGAGGAATGCTGGTAGTATGTGAGAGTACTCTTGTTCTCATCCAAATTGTTGTGGAAGGAGACACTCTCTTTTGGGTTTGATGATCATAGTTGTGACTTCATCGTGGTGGTCAATTATTTCTGAAGGAGGTCGATCCACCCTTCAATTACGCTTCAACACGTGACAGTTTGGACCATCATTGGCAGCTAGACCTAGAATGTCTAGGTAACAATCGATCTTCAAATTGGGATCTTCTACCAACAAAACACGTTTCAACCCTCTACCAACATCATCTCACATTGCACATTTTAACTTGAGGTTGGGACTCACCATAAAAGTGGGACCTGCCATGTATGATATGTGTGGTGTGAGATGATGTTGGTATAGGGTTGGAACCAATATTTTAAAAATTGACCCGGAGACTGAACCGTTTTTGCCTTTGGGTTGCGGGTCACCGGTTCGACCGGTTGGGTCAAACGATTCAGACCATGCCACGTTAGCATATATATATATATATATATATATATATATATATGCATGTGTGTATCAGTGTATATATGTATTTATATGTGTATAAATATATATTTAGCAATAAATAATTTATAAATATGTTTTAGATATGTTATATGTATTATTTTATATTTAATATATGTTCTTAATTTTTTATTTATAAAAATATTAAAAATTTTAATTTAAGACCAAAAAGGAGGGTTTTTTCGCGAAAAAATAGCGGGGCAAGGCGCCTACAGCCACTGGGATGCATAGATCTCAAAAAAGCTACCAAAAAAAAATCACCCTAATCAGACATCGGAGCGCAAAGTTATGGCCTTTGAAAGTTTTGCATGCATTAAGTGTGCAACTTGCGGCTTGGTCACTGGGTCGAATGGTTCTTGACCAAGTCAATGGTTTTTTACCATATAATGGGTCTTAATTGAATCGGACCTAAAATTCTAGCTGGGTGACGGTTCGAGTGGTTTGACCGACCGGGTCAACAACGAGTTGAAAACATTAGTTGGAACATGTTTTGTTGGTAGGTGGTCTAGTCTCCCAATCTTCAACCTAGAATGAGCTCGAGAATGTACTCCTGACTTGGTTTCCCAATTCTCACCCCTAACTTGGTCCATCTGACCCGGGCTATCTCTAACCTGAAGGAGACGCTCACAACCTCAGTCTACCTCCAACTTGCAAGACGAGCTCTAACGTCAAGAAAGAAGGGCCAACATGTGCCTTGTAGGGTTGGTTTACTAGTTTTTTTTCAACTGACATGACCTGGTCGGGTTACCTAAAGATTAAACCAAAACCAACCCTCTATTAAGCAAAACCGACCTAGTCAGTTTAGGTCGATTTGGGTTTAAATATATTTATAGATAACTCAGTTCGATTTGATTTCGGTTTTTATGTATGAAAACCAAAACCAAACCGAATTATCAATTTATCCATCTTTTCAACCCGAAACCGATCGGTGGTGAAAAAAATGGTCAAATCAGATTGGATCGGGCCAAATTGGTCGATTTAGTCGGCTTGAATTTATTTGTAAACAATACTAACGCCTTATACAAGAATAGATGCCCACTTGGCAGTGCTGGTATCCCACCTCCCCGCGAAACGTGTCCAAAGAATGTAGGCATCCTCCCATCAATCACGTAGACGTGACCACTAAGACCAATTGCTTAACTTGCCCTTCATGTCACGTTCCAGCTGAGCCACGACTCACGAATACTATATAAATTGTACGCTATCACTGCCTTGGACCACCTATTACATTCAGATTCCTCCTCTTGGTTTCTTTACCGCATCGGATTTGATCATTGGAGTCCATAGCCCGGGACATACACTCGGGCCCTTTGACTTGATGTTTTTGAAGTTACTATTACAAGAGCCCACACCTGAGTTATGACATTTTCTATGAAAATTGTACTAGAAAGTGGTGTGTCAAATAACGCCCTTTTGTTTAGTATTTTTTTTTTTCAAAAAAAATGTTGTTCTAAATCATGTTTTGAAAATGGGGAAAGTGTGGTATAGAGCAATGTCAAATTTAATGTTTTCTAAAAAATGATGAATTGTTGCCAGCGGTGCAATAACATGACATCATCTTGTACGTTGGATAATATAGATCAATGTTAAAAATGTTACTGCCAATACTGATACCAAACAAAACCAGCAGAAAATGCTTATGTAGCAACATCTATTTCAAACAAAAAATAAACACCATTCTCTGAAAAAACAATGCTTATAACTCCACATATCAAACACCATTTTTATAAGAAAACGGTGTGATATTCCCAATAGCGATACCAAACACCTACTGAGACTTTTGATCTTCATCAACTTCTTGTATGTCTTAGGGGAAGAATTCAAACAGATCGGGCAAGAATCGAATACTAGCTTAACATAAATGCATTTGCATTTGCACTATTACGGGTTGAACTTAAAGATGAAAATGGATCTTTATCTTTTGTAGATTGGTTTAATAATTAATTTTCGTTTTAATCGTTTATTTGTTTGATATGTAGGTGTTATTCAATGGAAGGAGAGTTGTCAACATAGGGCGGTGGTGAACGTGTACAAGGAGAGGAGATCACTAGCATTCTTCTTGTGCCCGAAAGAAGAAAGTATCTAAATTTCACATAGTCGGATTTGCCGTAATTTACGCCGAAGCAGTACAAAACCAACCCTAGAACACTCCAAAGCTTCACACTGTGGTTTCTATCTCACAAACTATCTAACTTTCAGATAGAAACCACTTTGTTTTATATTTTTAAGAAAATGACATATTTTAAAATTTTAATGAATAATTAAGGATATTTTTGTCTTTTACATTTTATCAATTAACTTTTAAAAGTTGGATAAATTTCTTAAATTATTCTTTTGATTTAACTAATTGATTAAATATACCATTACCGTTTGAATATTATCTAATGGTACTCCTATTGTTTCTACAATTAACTAATTTTACTCTTAAGGTCAGCATCCGTTAATATTCCCTCATCAGCAGCAGCAAACCAAGCTAGCTCCGTCTTAACCAACGGCAAACTGAACCAATATTCCTTCCACGTTAATATTTGATGAAAAACCCGAAGTTCCTTGCAGCCGGAAGTGGATCGAGTGTTGTTTTATAGCTAAGGATCCGTGTCTTGGTCGGATGAGACTTTTGGGATTGTCGGGATGAGGTTAACCGTCGATGTCTACAGGATAAGACCTAATCCCCGGCAGAATTGTCCTCATCCGCTCTCTTGTCTTGGTCGCACTTATCCACATGACGTGGTTGAAAGGATAAGATAGGGCCGCAGAGGTGACGTAGTGCTGACATGGCTGAGGAGATAAGCTGGGTTGCGGAGGTGACGCGACGCCGACGTTGCCAAAGAGAGAAGGCGGCCACATAGGCGACACGTGGCATCCGGAGCCAACTCAACCATAACCCAAACATTGGTGTTTGAGACTCGATAGAGGGCTACCTTGTACCTATACAAGTTCCAAAGTGCCAACACAACACCGACCCTCTCTCTCTCCATCTTCTTCCCCTTCATTCTCTCTCCCTCTCTCCCTTTCCTTCTCCTTCGTTCTCTCTTCCCCTTCACACACACATGTGGACCCCTCCATCTCAGATCAAGGAACCTAGATTTGGACCTGGGTGGTGAAGATAGACTAAAGAAGATGAAGAAGAACAAGAGGAGCTTCCAATTTGACCCAAGGGCAAAGCAGACATTTCATCCCTTTTGTCAATATTTAACAGCAATGGTAATTTTCTGAAACAATAGGGGTAGCATTAGACAATAGTTAAACAATAGGTTATACTTAGTCAATTAGCTAAGCCATAAGGGTAGTTGAAGAAATTTACCCTTGAATATATATATATATTATATGAAGAAATTTCTTCATATTAATTACTTGAATTTTATAGATAGAAATTGAAAATTAACAAAAGTAACAATATGATTAAAAATAAATTCAAATGCTTGTAGTAATGTGTGTGTGCATTGCACGTGGAAATTTTAAGTTACAATAACAATTATTATTATTAAAATTTGTATTCCATTTGTCATAAATAAAAGTATTTTTTTATTTTAACAATTATTTTATTTAATATGATGAATATATAACATTAGAATATTCTCAAATGTTTTTGACAAAATTTTGTATTTTTTCATTTTTTGTATTCTATCTTTTTTAAATATTTATTATTCAATTATGACATCGTGATTTTCCTTAAAAAGTTGGATCATTGACCCACCACGTAGATAAGAAAATAGCTTTGCTTTCGGATCAGTTTTAAATTATATATTTCATTTGCATTATATAAATAATTTTTACTTATCACACTTAATTTGTGTTTGACATAATAAATATATAATTTTTTATATATTCTTTTGATTACTTGTACTTTTTTATCTTGATAAATATTTATTGTTTAACTATCATATCATCGATTGATTATTTTGATCCAAACCACTAACCCACCACCCAAAAAAGAAAATGATTGATTTCTAGGATTACATTGAATTTTGTATTACATTTCCATCTTTGATAAAATTATCTCTTATGTTTAATACTTATTTTTATTATTTTACCAAAAACTACTTATTTTTGTTCATTATACTGAATGCATAATATTGGAAATGCACCCAATATTTTATTTTTTATAAAAATATAACATTAGATATGTGCCCAATTTTTTTCTATTTTTTTTGTGTTTCTTTATATTTTCTATTTTTAAAAATTTTATTATTTGACTATGACATTATTTCATCTCTAGGTTGATTGTAAATTTGGCATTCTATTTTCATCATTAATAAAAATACTTCTTACATTCCATACTTAGTTTTGCTTAATATAATGAATATACAATATTAGAGATATATCAAATTCTTATTATTTTTTGTATATATGTTTTATTTTTTTTTATTATTTAATTATGACATTATTTATTAACCCATTTAATCCCAAATGTTTGAATTGCTTACCCACCACTGGGAGGGAAGAAAATGGTTTTTTTTTCAAAATATTTTTTTATACTACTAAAATTAAAGAAGAATCAAAAGAACACCCAAAGAAAAATAAAAAAGATTGAAACAAAAGAAAGAAAAGGCTGTATAAATGCATATGCCAAGTAGGAAGTGAACGAAGATTCCGTTCCAACAAGAGGTGGAAGTACGCCTTCTTCAATAATCCAGGCTATCCAGCATGAATAAAATGAAGAGATTTTACAAACTTCAGGTTTTACAAAAAGCAATTCAAATTTTAAATTATTATTTACATAAAATTACCAGATCCAATTATCCCAATTATTTATTGAGACCATTTTAGGTCTATGGCCTCGTTCATTAAATACTGGTTTCTTGAGGTAGAAAAGTTGACTATTTTTTGTGTGTGTGTGGTTTTTTTTTTTTTTTTGGCAAATGTATGTGGGACTCACTAAAAAGATACACTCCCCTGGTAAATAATTTGGTCATTTACTCACAGAGATGAATAAGTTACTTTCCCATCATAGAGGGCAATAGACCAACTATAATCAAACAAAAATACCCTTAAAAGATTATCAAGTTGCAGTATTAATGAACAATCATCTAGTAGCTGAAACTTGAAAAACAAAAATTGTTATGACATGGTTGCAAGCATTATGACAATAATCCTTAAGGTATTGATTTATTGAATAAGGTTTTATTTAAAATGGATCCATTATAGCCCATTAAACATGGTTTTAAAGCGCTCATTTGATTTATTGGATAAGGTTTTATTTAAAATGGACTCACTATAGCCTATCAAATAGGTTTATAAAACAAAAGGTCCAAAAACCTTCATTTGGACAGAAGGGTAATATTGGCAATAGAGGAACAAAATGGTCAACTTACCCAAGAAAATGGGTGAGGCAAAAGAGCATGGGTAAGTTGGAGTGTCTCATTTACCCGAATAAATTTTAACAAAAAGAACATGGCTCAATAAACTTACCTACATAAATTTTATTTGGAAAACATTTACTTGGATAAATGAATTTACCCATTTAAGTAAAATAGCTGTAAACAAACGAGGCCTATGTTTTACCTTGATTAAGTAATGGGTTCGGAATTGATACAAGCTATCCTGAACCAGTCCTTGTCCATTGACAGCCCTATCCACACATGATAATTAGACGTAGCAGACATCTCTCTCTCTCACACACACACAGTCACACTCACATTGTATGGGTTGGGTTGAATTAAGGACCAACTCAAGTCCAACCCTAAACATGAACCTAAGGCCTAGAGCCAGATAAGATCAAAGCCCAAGTTTGCCATATTTTTTAATTTTTATTTTAAATAAAAATCATCACTATCACTTTTGGTTTGTAGATTGGTGGATAAGAGAAAAGTGAAGAGACATTTTTCGGTTGAGAAAGATAATATAGAAGGTTTGAGTTTAAATTGTCTTGTTTTATTTATAAGCAACCAAATAAGGTTTTATTGAAATTTAGGAAGTATCATACATTAAGAGTGTGAGAGTGTTGTACAACATGAATGTTTATTATTTTCATTTGATTTTTAAATTGTCACATTTATATTATATAAAACGAGTACTTGCCTTGGGTTTTGTACCGAATTCCCTATATCATATATGGTTCATACTTCCTTGCACACATGCATAGTATATGCTCTTACACAAGTTTGGTAAAAAAGATTCTTGAATTGTGTTTTTGTGATCTTGTTTTGAAAAGTAAACAAGCTGATTTCGTTTAGAAAAAAACAATTTCATGTCTTCTTGGCTCAGTTCCACTAAAATATTCTCATATTGAAGTTCAAGCTTGAGTTCAATTCGACTAATTATTTGATAAATTCAAGTTCAGCTCGAAGGCTCGAATGTATATATAACAACCTTAGCTTAGGGGTGCAATCGAATTAAATTTTAATAGAATGGTTTGGGCTCAAGTTCGATTAGCCTCAATTTTAGTTATTCAAACTCGAATTCAACCAATGAAATGTTTGACTCAAAAGCTCGCATATCCAAATGAGACATACATCTCAAAAATGAGGCATGACTCATGAGGCGATGAGGGTTGGGAGCTCTTAAGAACCTAAAGATGCTACTTTCCTGCTCTTTATAGACATTCTAATTCTATACTTACTAAATTTTTATTCTCCACGTCTAACCAAGAAAAAAACTTACTCTCCAAGTAGGCATATTACATTATAACATCTACTTTATATCATGTCTATGCCAGTACAACCATGCTAGAGACAACATACATCATGTTGGAAGTGTTTGGCCAGGCTGCACTTAACAGCAACCTGGTCAGCGGTCAGCCTGGTTAGTGCTTCTAAGACCTGGCTCGTTTATCCCATCTCATTCTCATTTCATAGCTGTCTTCAAAGCCAGCTTTCTGCAGAAAACACATGGATGCCTCTAGACCTTCTATCTCATCATCAATTTATCCTCTATGCTGCCGCCTCAAGCTACTGGTGCAAAAGTTGCCCTTTATCCGATCCATTTTTCATACTGCTGGAACATTTTAACTCATTTTTTCATCTTGCTGAAAAACTCTTCTTCACATGTTGAATCAATTGCCATAGCTCTTCTTGATTTCTGATTCCATAAAAAAAAAAAGGATTTTTACAAGGCTTGATAACAGACCACAAAATCACCTGCAAATGTCTCAAGACCATTCTTGTCCCAAACCCCCCAAAAGTCCACTTAATCAGAACTGTAAGTCCCTGTTCTGATCCAGTACTAGTTTAATCTTATGACCAATTTTAAGATGCCGAGGCCTCCATGCATTTCTGGAGAACCTTCTCCCAAATGGCAAGCATTTCCAATCTCTGTTGCCTAGGTCGGATCTGCCAAACTGCGGCAAAATAGGTTCAGACTGCCATTTACCTGAACACAATGAATGGATGAATAAATAATTAAATTGACCATTACTCAATTATTTTTGTTAATTATTATTTTAAACAAAATACTGCTACGGTGCTACTGGACTCCCTTTATAGAACATCAGCTTAATTATATTGAGAATAGCCTTTGCTCTCCATCAATGGTGTTTATTTGACATGGAACATATGCCTTTATTTTATGCTATTCTTTTTTAAGGACAATATGTCAAATCAAAATGTTGATTTAAATGACAGAAATGCCACCCATAAGCAAGATATATTATCACATACACTTGAAACAAGTTTTTCAAATATAATATATATATATATATATATATATATTATTTGTGCAGTATTAAATAAAGAACTATACACGTTAAAATCAATATTTCATTAAAAAGAAAAACACAAAAGAATATATTAATAAAGATGACCATATAGCATATCTTATATTAAGTTAATTTAGTATTATAGGTTTGCATATTTATATGCCATTATACTTTTAATAATGGCATATACTTTTCTCTATTTACATTCCTTTTTTAATGTTAGGAGCCGTGTTTCCTTTTTTATGTAGTTTGGTGCTTAATGTGCATTTGGAATGACAGAGACAACAGAATTTTTTATAATGTTAAGAACCATAAAATAATTATGATTCTGCATTGAATTCTTGTGCATTCAGAATTCTCTGATGTACAGAGAGGGTTTCATGTCTTCTTTTCTGGTAACTTCAGAATTGTATTCAGAAAATGCATAATGGGTCATTCTTCTGAACTTGTGATGCTCATGTTGTATTTTTTTCCTTTGGGTATGGGGGCTATCTCATCACCTTACCAACTTTTGTACTTTTTTTCAGTGGTCAATAAATTTTCTTTTATTTTAGTATAAAAATACAATTTTATTAAAAGAATTAGAAGCATCAAATACAGATAGAAAACACTGGAAATGGAAGGAGGCATTTACATTCTGGTTTTGTTCTTTTTGCAAAGCAAACCAAGAACAATGACAATATTTCCCCTGGGCTTGGAAACACCCCACACTAAGATGTCCTATAGTGATCCCTTCTCTAATAAAAGCATCAGCCATACTATTTGCAACTCTTGGGATCCACCCGAACAAGAAGTTCAAGTTAGTTGACAAATATTTTACTTCTCCAACCAGAAACCTAAAAGGCCCAAGGCACCTCCTCCCTCAGCAACATCCAGTAGGTAACCAAATGCCAGTCACTCTCCTCTATTACATTACTGCATTTAGAAATATAAGCCACCTTTGAACCTTGCAGTAAGGCCAGCAACAACGATTTTAGTAAAAATCCCTCCAGTTTTGGTCCTAAAGTTAAGCAACAAATTTCCTTCATGATCTCTAACCAGTCCCCCAATTCCAGAAACTCCCAGAGGTATACAGAAGTCGATAAAATTTAATTTTCTCCTGATTTAGGTGCTTTCCAAACAGAAATCCTATGCTGCCTAACATTAGAATGATTTACCACATGCTTCAACCCCTTTAATATTTAATCCACCATCACACTCTTGAAATCTTTGTCTGTTCCCCCTGTGCAACTCTATCATAATAATATCTATCAAGAGTTTTATTTTTTTTCCTTTTTTGGCTAACAATATCTACCAAAGTTGCACATTCCAAATATTTTCATCGAAAGTTCTTGGAGTGTCTTATTCCTATGGACTCAATAAAACTGTGGCTCTACATAGCTACATAATTTTACCCCTTTTAGTATGTCCCCAGTTTTTATATGATACTTGGGTTCAACTATGATACTAAAAAGACAAGATATCAGAAAATTTTATGACCAATCAACTGGTATCATAAACATGTTAACCAATCAGGTGGAATTGATCAAAATTCACGGGTAGGTCAAAACTCTTCTGGTATCATGTCTTTCCGACATCATAGATTTTCCCATGATACTTTTATAGGCAAATGTGCCTATACACTTCTTTTAACATCTCTTAGAATATCATTGAATATTTCAAAGATAATGTTTCCAACATTTCCATTATCTTTACAAGTTACAAAGTTTCCAATATGACATTTCCAACATGTTTCCTTTTGTTAGTGACTGGCATTTTCATTGATACCAACATTTTAAACACTGGAAGCAGTAGAAGTATTCCCTAACATCTTAGTAGGAACATGATAAGAATTGCTCCATTCTTCCGGAAACAATTCAGATCCTTGGTTTCTAACAGTGGCTCTAGTGAATCTCTCAATAAGCCAACAGCTCAGAGACTCTCTCCTTTGATTCTACGTATTTTAATAGATATATATTTTGATTAATATCCAATGGTTTTTTCCTGTAGTAACAGCATTTGCCTCCCCACAGTCGATCATTTCCTCCAGGAAAAAAAAGAGGAATCACAGGGTCACCTCACAGCAGATTAGATACAAGAGGATACATGTAAATGTGACTGATAACCGACACCAGAATTAGTGAAACTCTCTACCCCAAAGCAGGTAGGGGCGTCATTATTAAATCTATTTTGCAATCTATACCTAACCATTGCATGCAAGCCATTCAACTCCCAAAAACAATCCTTACTAAAATTGATACAACTCAGAGAGGTTTTTGATGGAATAGCAAAGAGAATCAACAAAAATTTAAATGGTATGCTTAGGGTCTTTGTGTTCTTAAGAGTTTGTGGAGTTCAGGATTCAGGAAAGCTAAATATCAATGTTTTAAAAGGTGTGGGAGGTGTACGCCTGGAGGCGTACCCTCCCAAAACACCCTGAGGCGTATGCCAGAGGTGCTGACACCTCTGAGGCGTACGCCTCATACGCTTTTTCATGAGGTGTGCTGAGGTGTACGGCTCATGTGCCTCATGCACAGCTCATGTGAAAAGACAGAAAAAAGAAAAAAGAAAAAAGAAAAAAAGGAAAGGAAAAAGAAAAGAAAGAAAGAGAAGAAAAAAAAAAGAGAAAAAGAAAGGAAATGGAAGGGAAGAAAAGATAAGGGGAAAGAAAGTGGGCAGGGGGCTAAGCCCTTGGACCCCCTTGGCTGGGGGGCCCGTCCCCTTTCAATGCAGCTCAATTTGACTGGGGGGCTTCAACAAGACCCCCCCCCCCTCCCTTTCAACTAGTGCTATTCATCTTCATTCTTCTTAATATAAAATATTTTTATCAAAAATAAAGGAAAATGAGATCCTCCATCTTCTTCCTCCTCATCCCCCCTCCTCTTAAGGAGGCTTACGCCTCATACGTAACTATTCCTCATGCTTCTAGGTAGTGGAATGCCTCACATCATGCCTCCGCATTTTACAACATTGAGTTTGAGTGCTTTTTTTCTGGAAACTTTGATAATCTGAAAACAGAGTTTGAGTGAGGGATGTTAATGACGAAAAGTCAAAAAAAAAAATTCCGGATCTCTGTTACAAGTGACTTTAAGGAGAGAGGTAGTTAGAGCCTAGAGGTTTTTGGCTGATCGGATTGAATCGGATATCCCATTCTTTTGTTGAACTTGAATCCAAATTGACTTTTTTTATATATCTATAGGATAATTGAATCAAGTCAGATATAGGGTATACATTATTGAATCAAATTTGAATATATCACTATCTGAATTTGATTTGATCTGTTTGCAGCCATAAATATGGCATACCCTTGGTAACTGCAAATTTGGTATTTCTTCCATTTTACTGGTTACTGCAATTACAGATTAATGAAAACAACCATAATATAAATAACGAAATCAGTCTCACAAAACTTAAAACAAAGAGGCACAGACGCACAGTGGCATCCATTACAAAAAAAAATATATCAAATATGGGTTATTTAAGCTCACATTCAACCAATTCAGTTTCCTTTTTTTATTAGGAAACCGAGTCTTACCACTCCCTTATAGAATGTGGGCATCTTTCAACACTAGCCCATGCACCGCACAGGTCTCTTCTAGTATGAATATATAAAAAAATATATATATAGATAGTATAGAAAGCCTTGTAGAATATTGGGACTCACATCACCAAAAATAGGCAAGAAAAGCATCAAAATTGTTGTCTAGCAAGAACAAAATAGCCAAGTGGGTTCATGTGACATCCATGAGTAGCCAAATTATCTCCAAGCAGAAAGAGGAGAAAAGAAAAAGACCATGCCAATACATGCTACATTGAAACCTCCTCCCCCTAAACATAAATATACACACATCTGTGCACCTACAATTTCCAGAAGTTGATGCTAAATAGGTTACATCAAATAAGAATCAAGGTTGGGAAGGAAAAGCTACCTGTACAAAATTCCTATGTCTTGTAAGATACTAAGAGGTGACTGCATAGAGATGACAGATTTTGTCTTTAAACATTATCTGGCCAGAATTCCCTGAAGAAGGCTCGCTCGAATTCCTTCTCTTGCCAACATTTCTCTTCCTCCTGCATCTTCCTCACCCTTTTAGAGACCGACTTTGTTTTCTTTCTAGGTTGCAATTGTTCCTGGTACACACAGCAACAGAATTAATACACAATAAATGTTAATGATGTAATTCTACAAAGAGAAGTAAATATACTCATCATACAGCCTTTAAGGTCAATTGAAGTATTGAGCCAACAATACAAATATGCATGTGTTTCATACTTGAAGAGATGGCAACTCAAGAACCAAGTGGAGGAGCTACCATCCTTTTTATATTGGTAACCAAAAATTATATTAATATGTTAAAGTATGGATTACATGTACTTTGCTAAACACTCCTTTTAAGAAAGATAGGCTAGCTCTAGCTACCTACTCCCAACTTCAGATGCTCCAATTACATTAGTATTTTCAACCCGTGTTGACCCAGCAAGTTGGACTGGTTACCTGGTGATCCAGTAACAATTCCAGTTTGTGTCAATCTCTAACCAGTCAAATCAGAAAAAAAGTTGACTTGGTCAATGACCCACCAACCTGGATCATTTGACTATTGACCCTTTAACAAGTTGCCTTGTATTAATTTTTAGTTTTTGAATTGTTATGATGTCATGGGTTAACCCATTGACCAGATGGTTGATCCGATGGCTTATCCACCCAGAAAGAAAAGCATTTCAGCCTCCAAACCAGGTTTTAAAACACTGCATTACATACAATCTTCGTGGAGGACAAAACTCAAATACAGAACCCTTCTTTTGATCCCTTGCCTAGCTAATGCATAGCTAAGCTATTGGTTGACCTTTTAACCACATGAGCATTGCCTTTTATTCCCAGCCAACTATAAAGTTTCTCTCAAGTGTCTTGATGCCATTAGGTGTGTTGGGAGCCTCTGTGCAGGTTTTATTGAAACTCATGACTCGCTGCCTAACCACTACATGTGAGTGGTTTGCATGAGAGCTAAAGAAAGGGGAGACATCCCAGGGGAGGTAGCGGTAGCTGTTGGGGAAGTTGTTTACATTGTTACCGGCCAGAAATTGGTCCCTCGATATACACCAACCTGGAGTCAAGGGAAAAAGTGGAGATTTTATCTGTTGGATGGGTGAAGTTTGGTTTTGGGGCAGTTGGTATCATGAATGTGGTCAACTCAGGAACCCTCTTTAAGGCTCTTTGTGAAGAAAAGAGGAAAATACAATTGTTGCCAGAGAAGGATGACAAGGCTTTGATCAAGTTTGCTGGATTGGAGTGGGAGCTAGAGCAAAATGTGACAATTAGGATGGAAAGAAACATGGGGTCAGACATTGCAAAATCCTGATTGTCCACCTCAAAAAATCAGCCTTCGACAATTGATCAGAGGTGTAATGATTTAAATTTTAAATTTTAAATCTTGAAAGGAACACCTGCAATGCATAAGACCAAGATAATCTAACTCTTAATCAAGGATTGAATTAGGGAGATCACATTAAACGAAAAGGAATAGTCCCTCCTTGATCTAAGGAGGATTGAGGTGGGAGATGAATGTTAGGAGAGGATAGCTCAACCCAAGCCTCATGTCCTACAAGCATATGCTAGAAACGAAAGTAGACTCAACTATCTATGGGAGTAAGCCAAAATTGTAACCTGAGTCGACAAACTAAGGCAAACCAGAGAGGTGTTTCACCTGATACATGGCCAGACCAGAGAAATCCCCTTCAGGTTGGCAATCCAGTATAAATCTTAGGGAAAACTCAAAAAGGGAGCTTTCTTGAAGTCCAAAGCACTACAAGGTGGAAGCAAAGGCTAAAGAAAATGCCCAAACCAATGATGAGGAGATTTCATTAGAAGAAGCACCCAAAGGGGCATATTTAGAGTGGCACTCTTCCCAAGAAGTTCTATGAAAGATTAATCATTTCCTTCAACAACTGGCATGATTGCAAGGCAACAGATATTGGGATGAGCATTAAAAACAACGACCTACATTTAGCAGTGATAGAAGAGGAACCCCTAGACCGCCAAATACTATCTGTTAAGTGGGTAGTGGTACATGATCCACTTGGCAAGGTGACTGTAGGAAGACAAAGGTAAGTGGGAAGTGCTAGTCACTGTGTTTGCTTGAATTGGCACCAAATTAAAGCTCTTCAGTTGTTTGTGGAAGCGAGTTGGTGGTCTTGAACAAGGTGTCATCCAAATTTCTCTCCTTTGGGGAGTTCTTGGGTGTTTTAGCATAGAGTATGGAGGACCAAATCAGATGGCTGATAATGGTTGTTGAACAAACCTAGGAGGATAACAGGTAGAGTAGTAGCCAAGGAAGTGAAAAACAAATGAAAGAAAAATAGGGAAGTACTACACCTCACCTAGGACCTAAATGGCAGAGCTAGTGTGGGGGAGAAATAGGTGGGGAGAAGTAGGCAAAGGACTTAAGGAGATGGAGTGTTTCAGGTGGAGCTTTATCTTAGATGGAGTTGAAAATTTGCTCTTGGAAAGTCTGAGGATTGGAAACGAGAAGTAGAAGACTTTGGTCTGATTGGTTTTTAGAAGGTATCATCTTGATGCGGTGATGCTTCAAGAGATGAAACTGCAAAAAAGGACTTTACCATGGTTAGGAGTGTTTGGGGCGAGAAGCAGCTTAATGGAGGTATAAGGAGGCCCATGGGTCAGCAGGCAGTATTGTCCTAATTTGAAATAGCCTGAAGATGAAGGTAGTGGACTCTATAGTTGGAAAGTAAATCTCAGTTATCCTTGAAATGACAGAAGGCTTTAAATTTACTCTAATGATGATGTATGAGTCACATGATAACTAGCAAATGTAGTTTTCAGGAGGAATTAAAACACAGCTAATTCGAAGTGGCCTCTCCCATGGTGTGTTGGGGGTGACTTTAATACCATCAAGTTCTCTTATGAGAAGGGGATACCAAATCACTAAAGCCATGAGGGAGTTTGCAGATTGGGTGGACTATAATTCTTTGATAGATCTCCCAATGTCAAGAGCTGATTTTACATGAGCTAATAATTAGGACTCCTCAACACTAGTGAGGCTGGACTATTTTCTCATATCTACTAGCTAGGAGCAATACTATTTAGATACTCGTCTAAAAAACTTTGCCACAACCTCTGTTGGATCACATGTTGATCATCCTCTCAGCTAGAGAGCAGCATGAATTTCAGACCTGGTTTGTTTCATTTTGAAGATTATTGATGGGAGGAAGAAGGTTTTAAGGAGTTGGTCTAGAATTGGTGGTCTTGTGAGACAGAAGAGACAAGGTCCCATATTATGGGGAAAAAAAAAGCTTCAAGAAGTAAAGGCTAGGATCAAGCTGTATTGGAATTTGAATTGCAGAAGCATAGAAAATGCAACTCAGAGGTGGACAGCAAAGAAGAAAAGGGTAACCTTTCAAAAGAATATTAGAAACAGAGTGCATGCAAAGGCCCTCTTTGACAAGGAAGCCCATAAGGAGGAAATCAAGTGGCGATAGTGTGCTAATGTGTCCAGGTAAGGTAGGTTGACAGGAACACATGTTTTCTTGAAAACATTGCCAAAACCAGAGTTAGAGAGAACTTTATGTCCAGCCTTGAGACTGAAGGGGGAAGGGTGGAGCGTGAGAAGGAGGTGAATGACATCATCGTTGGCTTTTTAAAGAGTCATGTATGATGTACCTCTACCAACTACAATCAGTGTCTTGCTGACACAATGATGAAAGGATGATTTCCATTTTCCATCACCATAGAGAAAAGTCTCCCTAGAAAAACAAAGGAGTTCTAGATCAATAATTGGCACATTTTAATTGTTGTGGAGAAGAAAAAAATGCCTTTCATAGTATAGACTCGGTTTGAGCAGAGCCTGATTTCCAAGAAATCATATGATATGAGAAATTGGAAAATGGACTTATATAAGAAAACCTAATATAGGGTCATACCCAAATGGATAGGGTTTGGTACAGATTTGGACCTAATCCAAACACAACCAAACTTGACCTTACCCCAGTCTGTGAATAGGTTGGGCCAATGCCAGGAAACAAAGCAAAGAAAGGTGGGGCAAGATGAAAGATAAAAATATTAATAGAAAAATAGCACAAAAAAAGATAAAATATAAAAATTCTTGATAAAGGCCATGACCCAATGTTGGTTCCAGCTATCTGGGGTCTTGGGAGGGGTGGACTGGATAAAGTCCTAACCTTTGGCATTTTTTTAACACACAAAGTGGCCATTCTCAGACCTGAACCTATGTTCTCACACTTGACAGACCAAGATTTCACCATTACACAGTAATGGCCCCTATAAAATATCATGGTTTTCAAAGCCGAACCAGACCGAATGAACGGACCGGAAAAACCGGGAACCGGTCAGGTGGCCGGTTCCATTTTATCCAGAACTGTTATTTTGCCAAAAACCATTGATTTGGTCAGAAAACCACTGACCCGGGCATTTGAACCGTCCAATGGTTTTGGTCGTTTTTTATTTTTTTTAATTTTTAAATTTTTTGTCAGAATGGACCATCCATTTGATTCGAATGGTCAGACCATTCAACCCGGGAATCAGACCCCTGACCGGTTCGTTGTTCGGTTCGATTTTAAAAACCTTGTAAAATTGTCCGGTTCGGTCAATTTGTCATACCCTCACATTCTAGATATGTCTGAAAATATTAGCTCCACTTTTACTGCAAAAAAGGATCGCCAATTGATAGCAAGAATCTGCTTATCAAACCAATCTCTGACGTAGATACATCCAATGTAAAAATCATTGGTTAGGCCAACCACTACATGCAATGCATCAACCAGTATTGCACGGTAAGTACAAGTATCACAGGTTTCATTGATGAACATTTGGTGACATTACTGAAAGATGAAAAAGAATTACAACAATGCACTAGAAATTAGCCCAAATAAATCCACAAGTTTGCATCCAAAAGAATTGTAAAGAAAATTTGTAATTTGTCAGGATGGTACTTGGTGGATGGTTATATTGAAGTAATGAAGAATGAGTATTAGAACAGTAGACAGAATCATGAACAAAAATATCTGCAAGTTTGCATCCAAAAGAACTGTGAAAAAAAATGGAATTCATCAGGGTGGTAGAAAAAGTTTTGGAACATGCGCCCATTATTATATTTGTATATTATGTCCTATTACATGAAATTGAAAGAAATACCCCTGGTTGACTACAAAAACAAAATAAAATAAGAAAACAAATGAAATTAAATCAGCTTCAAAATTAAGAGTAGATCTCAAAATCGGACTTGAGTAATTATAGACATCAGTGCCTGACAATTATGGTAATGATAATGCATAGGTAAGAGAATTTAAGAATCAACTATTAGATTTCTTTGATAATTTTTCATCATTATAAGTTGAGAACTAAGAAGATTATTGCTTATGGGACCAATGAAACTCACATTGTCATTTTTCCTTGCAGTGGTAGTATCATCAGAGATATGTAAGACCTTCTTCTTTACTTTCTCTGCACCCAGACCACGCTTATTATTCTTTACATGTGTTTGTAGTGGCTCTAATCTACCCTGTTTCCACCATACAATGATTGCTTAGTTCATAAGATACATTAAAAACAGTAAATAAACAGAATGAGTCTTAACCTTCATGAAACATGATGACATTATGACCACCAAATATTACAGTGCCACAGAGAGGGAAAGATCCATACCCTTCCCATTTAAATGTTTCTTTTTTATTACATCTGTTGTTTAACTGTCTCTTCTAATTCATTCTCATTTCAAGTCACAAACAATAACATATGAAAGTATAGAAATCTCAGCTGAATGAACAAGTGATAAACAATGGTAGATAGTAGATTTATTCTTTTGTTATCAATTGAGACAAAGGAATAATAAAATCATCATTATGCTGAGAAAAGTGTGTTTCCTCTGTTACATAATCCAGTTATCCAAATGTTAACTATAGCACAGAAACATCAATAGAAACCAGCATCCATGTGTGTGTGCGATGATTGTAGTGGTGCTGCTGGTCATTGTCACGGTTTTATGTGATCCAGAGCAATATGATGGTAAAGACAAACTAAATCCAACAATTGCTAATGAAATTGTTCGCTATAGTATGGTGAGAAAGAGAAGTAAATCATCACCATTATCATTATCTAAGCCTTTGTCCCCACTATATGAAGTTGGTTGCACGAATCCCGTTTTACCATTCCTTTTTATTCAGTGCCATATCTTTTGTTAAACTTTTTTTATGAATATCAGCTGTTAAATGATGGGCACTTAAATGATTTCTTACTACTTCCATAACAAGCCATCTCTTACATACTTTTCCACATTTCTATTGTGATACCATCAAGTCCTAGCACCTTTCCCTTCATCTTGTTTAGAGCCTCCTTCACTTCAATAACTCTAATTTTATGAAAATATATGTTACTTTATTTTTTTTTTTTGATGAATAATAATAAGTTTATTGATTCAGAAGCAACTTTAGAGTGAGTTCATACATCATCCCAACGAGAGGCACAAGCTGCAGCCCCTCCTTGA